CATGTCTTAATTAGTGACATTATAGCAGACTGTTCCTAGAGGATCATGGAACGAGAGGACCCTTTTAGGGTTTTATATCTAGACATCTGAACGTGCAACTTTTGAGTAGTCCAACCAGCTATCCTGCACCCGTGCAAACATATTTTCATTAGAAACGACACTAAAATAACAACAATCAAAACTTTGTGCTGAATCCATATATCTCCCCTCACCCCTGCAAAATATTAAGTAACTATACACACATATAAATAATCTGTAAAATCAGCATCACACCAGCTAGCGTTTTCCACGGAAATTTGTCTGTATGAAGCTGGGCATCGAAATACTTGGACACATCCAGATGGTCCACTGAAAACACCCACAGTCTTAATGATGCACAATGTTTCTAGACCTAAATGTTTGAACTAATCTTAAAAATGAAGCATGATACGTGTTTGTGTGGTCTTGCTCTACACAGTGGGTGGAAACGCTTTTTAATTTGTTTATCTGTCATCCTAAGCGTTGCTTTGCTCATGATAGACTCCTCAAAAATGTTCCGTTGCTCTCTTTGCCTTCACGATAAGACCCAAGTCCCTTTGTCTGCTGCCCAAGGCATCGCTGCTGGTGCTTTGGCCTCCCCGACTGCTCTGCACATGCGCGGACCTTCTCTCTGCCCAGCCAGGCGGATCTAGTGATGCACATGCGTGCACTGGCTGTGCCTCTTGTTTTTGCGGCTTCCCTTGCCGGAACCTTCTTTGGGCCCCGGTTCACCTTCCAGGCCCGGTTTCTTTTCTTCATTGGGTTTTTTTGTTTTTTGGCTTGCACGGTTAATTTTTTTTTTGCTTCCAGGGCAATTGGCTTAATTTTGCGTTTTTTTTTTTCCAACTTCTTGGGAGGACCTTGGGGGTTGGGGGGCCTTTTTTTCTTGGGTTTTTGGCCAGGACCGGGTTCGGGGTTCCCCCGATTGTTGCCGGAAAGGGAGGAAAGGCTTCCAATTCATTGGTTTTTTTAAAAATTTGTTCTTCCTTTTCATTAAAAACCTTTTCCCCCCATTGGTTTATTTTTTCCTTTTTTTCCTTTCCAATTTTTTTTATTTTCTTCTTTTAGGATTTTTTTTTTTTGTTTTTAAATTTTGGACGTTCTTACCTTTTGAAGGGTTTTTTTAAATTTAAAACCATTTTTGTTTTTTTTTTTTATTCTAATATTCTAACAACACATGGGTTACACTGAGCACCCCATTTTGAATACCATCACCCCTATAACCACATCAGGCTCTGGTGCTGTGGCAATAATAACAATTACTGCTAATTCTGTGACACTTTCTACTATGCTGAGCCAAATTATAGCGAGTCACCCCTTTAGAGCTATGATTCTGGGCTATGAATCTAAGAAATATTAATCAGGGTTATTATGGTGCCTGACTTCAGGGGGGGCAGCATTTATATTTTCTGTGACTAGTACCCCCTAAATTTGTTCAGTGCACAACTGTGCATCCCTGAAGGAGGACCCTGTGAGTGTCCTAATCAGAGACAGGCTCTGCAGACCATGGCTGCAGACACTTTCCAAAGGACAGGCTTCATGTGAGCTGAATGGGAACAGTAGTGTTGGTCTGTGGATTCTTCCAACCACACACAAATCTAGACAGCACGATCATGTCGAGCAGTCTCTAGACTGGATAGTAGGTGGTACCATATGTGCACACACCGATGAAGAGCTGGGGCCATCCACTTGGAATCAAAGACTGGAAGAGCTGGAAGGGCTTACATTTCAAAGATGAGAAACTTGAATTCGGGGATGTTTCATACCAAAATTATTGATAAAGTCATATTAGAATTCCCTGACCAGTGCTCTTTGTGTTTACTAATTACAAAGCACTTAATATAGGTATTTCATGAACACTTCAAATTCATCGCAATAAATATTAATTTAGACTCCTGTATATAGGTATTTACTATATGTCAAATACGTATACTAATAAATGTACATGCATCATTTAATTTGATCTTCATAACAACCCATGAGGAAGGCATCATTGTAACATTCACTTTGCTAATGAGGAAGTTGAGACTAAGAGAAGCTAAACAATTTAACAAAAATTAATTGGTTAAGCCAGGTTTCAAATCCATGCAAGCTGACTTCAAAACCTGCTCTACCGCATGCCCTGCCTTCCATAATCAACGATGTCATTTATGCTAAGGACAAATGGTGTTTATTTGTACCATTTCCCTTTGCAATTATCATTATCTGAATACTTTTCTTTCCTTTTCATGAATTAAAATATTATAATGCTTTCCTGTCTCTCCCCCTCCTTCCCTGCATCTTGCCCTTGTTCCATCTTTCTCTTTCACACACACACAGAGAGATCCAATTATTGTATCTGTACAATCTGTACAATAATTGTATTCTCTTGATCATGCATTCCCTGAGAGGGGTACTTAGCTGGGATGGGAATAACCTTCCCATTCACGCAGTAGCTCTCACTAAAACCTCTGGAGTTAACCACGGCTCTTTCTGTTCTCTCCACCCACGTCAGATCTTTCAGGAAACCTTTGGACTTTCTCTTCAGAATGACACCTGTCTTACCTGGCCCCACCTCCATGCAGCCCACCCGCAACTCTCACCTGCAGTTTGTCACTTGCTTCCAAACTGTTCTTGTTTCCGCTTCTCCCCTTCCCTGCTACAGCCTGTTATCAAAACGGCAGCCACAATGTTCCTTTCAAAACCACCCAGCGACTCCCCACATCCCTCAGATAAAAGTGACAGTTCCTCCAACGGCCCCACAAGGGCTGCTGCGATCTGCAACCCCCTCCCCGGCCTCACTTCCTCGCTCCCTGCTCACATCACTCTCCCTTCCCCAAATACGTCCCTGTCCTAATGCCCGGAAGCTGAAAGTGTTACTTTACGCAGCACAGAGACTTGCAGATGTGATTAAACTAAGCATCTTAAAACGGGGAAGATTATCCTGGATTATCCTGCTGGGTCCAGTCTAATCACAAAGATCCTTGCAAGAATTGAGAGACAGAAGTCAGAGGATGATGATGGAAATGAGGAGAGAAGAGGTGATAGGATAGGGGCCGTGAGTGAGGAGCGAGGTCAGCTTCTAGAAGGTGGAAAAGGGGAAGAAAGGGATTCTCCCCTAGACCCTTCAGAAAGAACATAGTGATGCTGACACCATGATTTTAACTACGTTAAAATTCATTTCAGACTTCTGAACTCCAGCCCTGTATGAGAATATTTGTATTGTTTTAAACCACTACGTTTTTGGTAATTGCTAAAGCGGCTATAAGCAATTCTGACACCTGTATCCTGTTTCACGTTTCCCTTAGAGCATTATCCTCACTGGCTGTATTTCGCAGTCACTTATTTGTCTCTCGGGTGTCACTCCCACTGGAAATCAAAGTGCACAAGAGCCAAGACTTTGTTTTCTTCACCGTTGCAAACCCAGTGCCTGGCATAATATCTGTTGAATGAATTAAATGAGTGATATATTTTGATCGACTAAGCAATTGGTGTTTCTGTTTGATTCAACACCAGTGATAGACGAATTTCTAGTGAGATAAGCACTAGAGTCAATGTCTTGATGGGGCAATAATGATGATGATGACAGTGACAATGACAACCCACTTTGCTGGTTGCATGAAGTCACATGGGCACTCCTGTCCTGAGAAAATATACATACGGTGTTCACTTTACAAAGTGTGTTTGCACCCTGTGACACCATGGTGATGTTATGGGGGCTGGACATCTGCTTGAATGCACCAGCTTGAATGTCACCTCCCTGTCCCTCCCGCACACCTGGGTGCTCCGTCCCGAAACATCCACAGCACGCGACCCTCCATGTCATCCTTACTACATTGCACTGGAATTCAAGTGCAGGTCTGTCTCCAGCACTGTGTTGTTGATTTCTTGGGAGCAAGGGCCATAGCCCTTTCCCCCAAATGCTCAGCACAGCACCAGGTGAGATTTGTGCGGAACATCAGCGTGAAGCAATTACTACACTAGGTGCTTTTTAAAAGGGCTTTATAGTAGAATAAGAGAGACACGATTTACACAACAAGCAATTGAGGAAAAAAAACAAAATAGGAGATAATAAAGTATTAAATTAGTGAAATGTATTTCATTGGAAGTGTTATTGGGAACCAGGATGGAGAGAAATGAGTGCGGACTGGGTTTTTTGTAGGTTCATAGAGTAACCATTTTTATGAGCAAGAAATAACAGTATTTACCAATATATTTACTAAATGTCTTCACATTTTAAAAATGCATGTAAATATGAATAATGTGGGAGGATATGAATATGTGTTGGAGAAAAGGGTCTATTGTCTTGATTAATAAAGATGATTTGTTTAGCTCTGAAACACGTTTTACATTTTGATAATATTCATACCAATAATCTTTATTACATTATCAGCCTAAGACAAAGATCACCAGAGTGCTGTTTAAGTATTATAGGCATTAAACATTAACACAGGCATTTAGTGTCTTACGACTACTAAAATTATTTGATTTCAACAGAATTTTAGTTATATTGGTGCCAAAAGGGCAAGCTCAGTGACAAAGGTCCCATTTATTGACCGTTTATCTGACGACATAAGAAGGAAACCCCAACAACTGACTGTAGATTTGACTTTCTCTCACAAGCTTTGGTTTCATTTTCAAAATCATGTTGACAAAGGAAATTTAAACCAGACAGAAAAAATGTACTCAATGTCCATTCCAAAGACAGGAATTTGGGAAGCAATTTCTGCTCACTCATGTGAGCTCTTAATAAAGTGCTTTGCCCATGGTATGCAAAAGTCAGTTATTAAACATGTGCTTTAAATGCACTTTCCAATTCTTGTCATCTTAAGAAGTCCTGGGTACACTCTGAAATGACCGATTTCATCAGTCCTACTTTTGGATATCTGTTGAGATCCCAGGACCAGGGCACCACGCATCTTTTCCCCGGTTGCTCAGAGAAAATAACACAACAGTTATACCATCTGCTCGTGCAGGGTGTGCCCGTCAGAGGCAGCCCTTACCTTCACAAAGAGGGTGATCTCGGGATTCATGGAAGCCGCTTCCTTTTCTCCCCAACCATCAGCATCAGAATAGCCGGGGACGGAATCCTCCCTGGCAAAGAATTCCTTGCTATGCTGGATGGTAAATCTTGAAGGAGAAAGCAGGTCTTCCCTCATCACGTTTCTGCTCTCCTGGGGCTCCACTGGGCAGAGCTCCTGGTGCTGGGTTGGCGAATGCAGTCCTTCCATTGAGACGGCCCTGTCCTCCTGGGGCCTACCTGGCTGGGCATCCTCTGCCCAAGAGCAGACCTCGTTAGGCAGGTAGTAGCCTTCTTCTGGTTTGGAAGAGGCCATGCTGTTCTCTTCCCCGCCAGTGGCATAGACTGACACAGAATCATACACATGGCTTTCCAGCCTAGTGGCAAATAAATTGTTTTCTGGCCTTAAGTCTTCATGGACATTATCATAATGGGGGACTTCCTTTTCTTCCGGTGGCTCTGGAACCTCATAGAGGCTCTGTTTTTGGATCGTGTCATAGATGGTGCTGTAGTCTTCGTCATTCATGTTTATTGATCTGATAGATACTTTCGCAGGCAAACCTGAGTAGATCCAAAATGAAAAAAAGGGATAGAGGATGCCTCGCTGCCTTACAGAGGAATCGACGGGCTTTTGCAAGGCAGCAACTAGCAACAGCTATCAATGACAGGTCTCAACAATCATTTACCGGAGACTTTAATAAGCAAACCACAAGTCCACTGGGCAGAAGATAAAGCTTACACACACAGTTAACTCCTTCACTTCTGAAGACATGTTTCATAGACTCTGGGGATTTCCTCGTTGCCAGTGACTCCAAGATTCTTTGGATAAACGAGCAACCGAATTGAATGATCATCCCAGTCTACACTGAAATTCTGAATATTTAGCTATTTGTCATTAATAGAATCCCCTCCTCTGACTGCCTCCGAATGTTGACAACATTCAAGAAGCCCCTGCAATTCAGTGCAGAGCTACGATTCTCCACAATGGTGACTCATCTATTTATAGCCAAATTTGTTACACAAAGCAATGCTTTGTGTATTGATACCCTCTGATACATGAATTATATATGCCCCAGTTGGGTAATGAATTACATTTACATTTCTTATCTGGAGCCACCACTAGGTGATTAAATGGCAAAAGGAAAAGAAGACAAATGCTCTGGCCTATGGTCACATCAGTACGGACCACTGAAAATAAGGCACTCAAAAATTACATGGTTTTCATTTTGATTTTTTCCCTCTTGAATCTGTGATCATCACAGTCAGCAAATACTCATTAAGATCCTGTTATGTACAGTATACCGAACTGAGCACTGAACAAAAGAGTTAGAAGATACCTTCTCTGTCCTCAAGAGGCTTTGAAAGATAGTTGGAGGGCCAGGAAGACAAACTAAAACCTCACACAAAAGAAAACTATTTAAGAAGGTTTTCTTAGTGCAATTGCCCCAGGTCGGGACAAGTGAAGAACCAAATGCACAAGGTCACCCCGTTGATGTCATCCACAGAGGCTGCAGATATCTGTGCACTTTATTTGTTTAATCTGGTACTCCAGTCTGCTAGTCACTGCTTCCCTTCTCCACACCTAGTCACTTTCTCTTGGAAGTGACAGCACAGCCAGGTTGTAAAGGGACTTTAATGTCTAGAAATCACATGAAAACTACAAGCAATGCAATTGGCGGGTTTCAAAGCATTTGATAGACATCTTACTGGCAAGACTCCATTGCACTCCTAGTCTCCAATATTGTATCCAGGAATCTTCTACAGGGATCTAGAGCAGTATGTCTACAATTCTAGCTTTTGGGAGAGCTTAAAGAACGGGTAAGAGGAAAGAGGCCAGAGATAGACTTTAAAGGCTATTGACATTGGTCCTTTATTTTATTGAAAAGTGAGGTTTAGTGGGTCCAAATACATGATAAATTATCACAGGTTCTAGAATCATAATTTTAGAGCTGGAGAAAACCTCCGAGATCATTTAGTATAACATTATATTTCACATCTGAAAAAAATCTGAAACCTAGAAAGGGGAGGTGAATGGTCTGACTTCACACAAAGAGTGCATGATAGACCTGACTTTAGCTATGGTTTTGGAACCTCCAACTCAGTGATCTTTCTGTCACCAACTCCCTTCTTTCACTCATTGTTTTCGGACCATTTTTTCATGATCACACACTGTCCCTCCAGCTCCCAAAGGAGCCTTTTAAGCTATTTTTTTCCCATGAAATTAAAATACTGCAAACATAGGACACATCTGTTTGCATATTGCATGTACATCTGTGCTATATATTAATACACTAAGAAAGTAAGACTTTTTTTTTTTTTGCCTCCCAAGAACCAATTTTCCCCTCTTGGGGGTGATATTGCTTCTTTTAACAATGCATGCTTTCACTACTAAAACGCTTATAGTGTGTAACTCATAATCTAACACTGGGTTATGTGCCATTGTGCATTATTACCAAAGAATGATAGTGTAGAGTGTGTGCACGGCTGTACAGCATGTTACCAGACCCGCCCGGCAATGACCCGGTGAGGCAGGCCGAGGCTGGTTAAGTTTAGGGTCCAAGATCGCACTGATATTTCATAGATTAGGTCGCCTGTTGTCCCGTCTCCGAACACATCTATCATGATTCATAGTTACAGGTTGTAATAGGAAACAGGCCATCCTGTTAAAATATAATTCAGATCCTATCACTCTCTGCTCAAACCTCTGCAGCAGCTCCTCATTTCTCTCAGTAAAAGCCAGAGTCCTTATAATGGGCCCCCAGGCCCTACATAACCTACATCTGCTCCCCAATACCTGCTTTTCTCCCCCCTTGCTCCAGACAACTGGACCTTGTTTCTATGCCCAGAATACTCCTGAATGGTCCCATATTAGAACCTTTTTATTGGCTGTTCTCTCCAACAGAATATACTCCTGGGTATTTGCATAGTCCATTTCCCCAGCTCACATAAATTTTTCCTTTTATGTCTCCTTCCCAATAAAGCCACTCTGACTGTCCTGTATAACAAACCATCCCAAATCCCATCCTAATGCCCTTCCCATAACTAAAAACTTTTACCCTATTTCCTCCCCTTTTTGTCATAATAACACCTTCTATTATAATAATAAGATATACAAATAACTATTTATTGTGTCTAGAATTGATTTTCTGTCTTCTCCTACTAGAATGTAAACCTTTTATGGGTACAGATCTCTCTCCACTTTTTTTTTTGTCATTATCTCAAGTGCCTAGTCCAGTGCCTGGTCCAGTCTCCTTTCTGTATTGTCTGTCTCTGTGTAAGTGCTATCTTTCTGCTATATTGTACTCTATTGTAAACCCCCGCAGAGATAACTTTGGGTCCAATGTCTGGTTTTCTGTTTTGTATGTACAAGAGCTCAATTTGGTTAGTTCACTCAGAGTTTATCAAATATTGTAGACCTGGGTGACTGGAAACTCAAAAAACATCAGTTTAGAAACTAAGCCAGGTGCAGTGGTGCACCTGTAGTCCCAGCCACTTGGGAGGCTGAGCTGAGAGGATGGCTTTAACCCAGGAGTTCAAGACCAGTCTGAGAAACATAGTGAGTCCTATCTCAAAAAAAAAAAAAAAAATGAAAGAAAGAAAAAAAGAAAAGAAACTAAAATTCCAAATTCTAATTTATTAATTTACCCCCACACATACATAACTGCCAAATTTATTTAAATACTAGTTTGGTATAATGAACACAATCTCTTCACAGTAGCAAAGTCAACATATGGAACCGAATTGAGAGAGTATTCTTATACTATGTTTATTTTTGATGTTTGTAAGATATAAGGCAATAGTCCTTTTTTTCAAACCACTTTTTAAATACTCCTTTTTACAAATCACAAATCAGTGATTTGCTCCTTTTATTTTTATGTTGATCAGTGTTATTCTGGATTTATCAACTTTATTTATCTTTTTGGAGAATCTTTGGCTTTAATAGCCTTTATCATATATTTCTTTGCAATTTCATTAATTTCTGCTCCTATTTTCATTATTTCCTTTTTCTTTTCTCTTTCGTTTTACTTTGCTGGTTTTTATTTTTATTCTAAGATAATTGTAAGGGATACCTATATTATTGGTTTTCAGCTTTCCTTCTTTTCTAATTTACGCATCAAAGACTATGAATTTTTCTCTAAGTCAAGACGTACCCGCATCCCACAAGTTTTAGTATATTTTATTTCTATTATCATCCAGTTCAAAATACTTTCTATTTTCTGTTGAAATTTATTTTCCCCTTTTACTCATGAGTTATTTAGAAATTGCATTGACTAACCAGTTATTTTTTATTGTTGGTATTAATTTTTAGCTTAATTCTACTGTGGTCAAAGAACATAATCTTTATGATTTTAATCTATTGAAATTCATTTTGAGACTTTCTTTATGTCCCAGAATATAGCCAAGTTTGAAAATATTCCATGTGCACTTGAAAAGAACACATGTTCTTTGTTAGGAACAATGTTCTATAGATTACAATTAGTGTGTGCTTGTTAATTTTTTTTATTAAATTCTTTTCTATTCATAGTGATTTTCATCTACTTGTTCTATCAGTTACTGAAAAGGAAAGTTAAAATCTTCCATCATAATCATGGATTTGTCTAATCCTTATTTAATTTCTCTCAATTTTTGTTTTATATATTTTTGAGAATATATTATTAGATGCACACAGATTTAGAATTGTTATATAACTTTGGTAGGTGAACTATTTTCTCAATAGAAAATATTTCTTTTTATTTCTAGTAGAGCTTTTTGCCTTTTTCTGTTATCAGCTTTCTTTCAATTAGTATTTATATATATTCTGTACATTTTTACTTTCAACTTTTATGTGTCCTTATAATTAAGCATTAGATATTTTTATCCAATATTTTTCTTTTAATTTGAATATTTAGTCTATTAATATTTAATGTAATTGCCATATTGGGCTAAATCTACTAACTTACAATTTGTATTTTTAAAAATGGGCAAAAACTTCAATAGACATTTCATCATAAAACAATATATGAACTCATAAAAAGGAGCTCAACATTATTAGCCATCAGGAAAATGCATTTAAATGAGATTATTTCATATCACTAGAACAGCTGAAATTTAAAAACTGATAATACCAAGTGTTGGTGAATACGTAGAGCAACCAGAACTCTCAAACAATGATGGTGGGAGTGTAAAATGGTGAAATTATTCAACAGTTTCTTATACAATTAAACATATATCTACCCTATGACTCAGCAATTCCAGGAAAATCTTAGAAATTTATCCAAGAAAAAAAAGTTAAGTCAACATAAAGGCTTATATAAGAATGCTTATGAAAACCTTATTTATCATCTCAAAAAGGTGGAAACTTCTAGCAAGAGAAGAATGGATAAACAAACTGCGGTACATTCATATAACAAATACTACTCAGCAATAGAGAAGGAATGAACTACTATTACAGGCAACAACATGGATGAATCTCATAGACGTTGTGTTGAGTGAAAGACGCCAGACATAGAAGTGTATATACTGAATTATTCCGTATAATTATGTCAA